TATATATATATATATATACATGTACGAATATGCAAATATATGTATATATCTGTCGTGCCACACTTTTCAGTCAAGCAGCGGAGAGAATGACAGAGAAAGAACGCAAGCGAGAGAAGGGAGAAAGCGAGAGAGACAGACAAATAGAGAGAAAGCGAGAGCGAGAGAGAGAGAGAGAGAGAGAGAGAGAGAGAGAGAGAGAGAGAGAGAGAGAGAGAGAAAGAGAGAGGGGGCGACAGAGAAGAGAGGGAGGTGGGAGATAGAGAGAATTAAGGGAGAAGGAAAGAGAGAAGTGGTAGATATATAGATAGAGAAAGGGCGAGAGAGAGAATTGATATATACATAATAATACATAATAAAACCCGCACTCAAACCCGTCTGGAGAACGGGTAATAGCCACTATTATATATACACTAGCTATTACCCGTCCTCCAGACGGGTTTGAGTGGGGTCTGATTTGAGGATGGCGGTTTAACCATTTATCTCTCACTTTTAGTTGAGGATGTATTTACAGTAAATACTGATATGTAGACTCGAGTCATATATCAATATTTGTTTAAAAAAATTGTATCTAAATATATATAAAATCTGAAAATTTACCTTAAAATTACATACAATTTAAAAAAGAAGAAAAGGAAATGGGGTGATTTCATAGTACAATTTTACTTATTTAGATATTATTTTTGAAAATATCATTCTGGTACGAAGCATCATTAATAAGTCAAATTCTTAAAAAAAAGCAAAATGCATCGAGTAGTTTTGAAGATATATGTTTTTGAAAGTCAGTGGACGGCGGCGGGCAGGGTTACACCTCCCGTTGTCAAATATTTGCACACACGCCCGCACACACACGCATCACACACACGCGCGCACGCACGCACACACCGCATTCACACACACACGGGCATGCGTAGGCACAATCACACGCGCACCCACGCACACACATACCAATTTACACACACACACACACGCACACGCACACGCACACGCACACGCACACGCACACGCACACGCACACACGCACACACATACACACAAATACAACTGCAGCCGTATCTCGTTGGGGTTTTTCTTAAATTTTCGTCTCACAGCTGTGCGCGGCAGTGATTGGCTGTTTATACACCGCAGCCGCAATGTCTTTGATGTGTGCGTGTGCGCGCGTGACGGCGTTCGTGCGTGCGTTTAGTTTGGCTTGCTATGCTAGGTGAAGGCTCCACCTAATTAAATGCTTATTATTATACCTTTAATCTACATTTAGTATAGCTATATTATCTTTAAAACCCGTGAGAAAACACATTAATAGTTTAACACAATTTCAAAAGGTTATGGTATATATAGTGTGGTATGTGTTAGCTCTAGTACTATAGCCCGCGTACATTGACTGCCGCAGGGCTATAGCACATTGTCGGCTGGAAATACCAACTGCAACCTGTCACCACCTGTCCCCACGAAAAATGGATCGCAAAACGCAAAATTATCGGGCTTTTTAACACTTATCTATCTACGTGGACATCTCACCTATCTTTTTGAACACTTTACACAACTTTACACCATGTATTTATCCTTTTATTCCACAAAGTAAACACTACTGGAAATTCCCGTTTGAAATTCTGGCGTGCGTACGCGTGACGTCACCGGTATTGTATATACGCAGAAGGCAGAAAGGTGCGATATGATATGACTACTAGGCACTTTAATTTAATTTAATTTTTTTTTTTTTAGGGTTAGGGTTAGGGTTAGGGTTAGGGTTGTTTTTTTTAAGTGCCTAGTAGTCATATCCTAAGTGCCTAGTAGTCATATCATATCGCCCCTATCTGCCGGGTGCTGTATATACATGCCATGTGTTTTGCCTACAGATCCGGTGCATGTATATTATACAATACCGGTGACGTCACGCGTACGCACGCCAGAATTTCAAACGGGAATTTCCAGTAGTGCTTACTTTGTGTAATAAAAGGATAAATACATGGTGTAAAGTTGTGTAAAGTGTTCAAAAAGGTAGGTGAGATGTCCACGTAGATAGATAAGTGTTAAAAAGCCCGATAATTTTGCGTTTTGCGATCCATTTTTCGTGGGGACAGGTGGTGACAGGTTGCAGTTGGTATTTCCAGCCGCTAATGTGCTATAGCCCTGCGGCAGTCAATGTACGCGGGCTATAGTACTAGAGCTAGGTATGTGTGTGCTCTTAAGCCTAGGACACACTGTGCGATTTTCTACGCTGGCCGCTTGCGATCCGCCGATCGATAAATACGCTGCCGGGTCGCGAATTTTTTTTTCCTAACCAACATATCCATTCCAGAATTTTGGACTGCTCTAATTGGCTGTTTATATGACCATTGAAACAATTGAACCCTAACCCTAACCCTAATCCTAACCCCAACCCTAACCCTAACCCTAATCCTAACCCTAACCCTAATCCTAACCCCAACCCTAACCCTAACCCTAATCCTAACCCTAACCCTAATCCTAACCCCAACCCTAACCCTAACCCGAAACCCAACACTAACTATAAAAAAACTAAACTATAAAACAACTATATAACTATATATAACTATATAACAAACTCTAACAAACTATACTAACTAAACTATACACA